GTAATCCTGGATCCCGGGGCTAGTAATCCTGGGTCCCGGGGCTAGTAATCCTGGATCCCGGGGCTAGTAATCCAGGATCACAGTGAAATGTTTTGGGGGTCATGGCTTTGAATCTCACCGTGGGGCTGATAGTGAAACTTGAATTCGGTTGAATGATAACCTTGTAATAATTGTTTAAAAACCCACCTGGTTCATCAATGTCCTTTAGGGAAGGGAACGCACTCTCCTTGAGTTTGAGATGGATTTTGATTTATTCTTGTCGCATGTACCGAGAGACAGTGAAATGTGTTGTTTTGCCTGATCTACCAGCAGATTGTACCATACAAAGTACATCAGGGGGAGTAGAACAGAGTGCAGTGTTATAGCAGCAGAGAAGGTGCAGAGAGAGGGAGATCAACATTAACATTTGAGAGGTCTGTTCATATACCTGGTAACAGTGAGGAAGAAGCTGTTCTTCAATCTGTTTGTGCATGTTTTCAAACTTTTATATCTTCTGCCTTGCGGAGGAGGGTGGAAGCGAGTATAACCGGGGGGATAGGAGGGTCTGTGATGATGTTGATTACTTTCCTGAGGCAGTGGGAAGTGTAGATGGAGTCGGTGGTTTGTGTGACGGACTGGGCTGTGTTTACAGCTCTCTGTAATTTCTCACGGTCCTGGGCACAGCAGTCACCGTGCCACACTGTGATTCGTCCTCACCTGGTCTGACCCTGCACGGGACTCCAAACCCACCCTTAACAACCCTCTGGGGCAATAAGGGATGGACAATAAATGCTGATACTCACATCCCTAACATCTAAAAAAATCCCTTTGCAACCTTGGCCAGTATTCCACTCACCTCCCTAATCACTTGCTGCATCTGCAGACAAAGTCTTTGTGATCCATCAACAGGATTCCCAGCACTGTAGCGTTCTGCGGTCACTTTCTGCTGGAATATTATTGTGTCCAGAGTGTTCCTTGAGGGGACACACCAGAATGACCAGTGGCCCCTGTCCTTAGCTTCTTCCTTCTGGAAATTGAGGAATGTAGAGAGTTTCCAGGAAGCGTGATTCACATTTCACCGTCAGACACAGTGGGATGCCAACCCACGTTGGTGAAACATTAGCCTGGGGTATTGGGATCACTAACCCAGGGACAATACAATCAGCACCCCCTGCCAGGAATGTTTTATCACAGGGCTACGGGATGGTACTGGGATCCTTTGGCTCCTGTTCTGATTCCGATGTGAAGGGGAAGTCAGCCCAGGTTGGGAATGCCTTATGGAGCCCCCAGGGATGGACCTCTATCCCTGTGTGTTCAGTTCCCTGGGATTTTTCTGCCTTGGACACTAATCCCTGCACAGTCCTCACAGGGCTAGTTAGAGGCTGGCGGGTTTGATGGGGAATATTTGGGAGGTATCAATGGAAAGGGTCAGATCGATCCGGGATCAGGGGAAAGGAAAGGGAAGGCTGTTTACTCACCAGGGTGAAATATAAGGGACGGCAGGGTCTGGGGAGAGGGCGGGAGGGTGTGATGCTGCTGCTACCTGATTTTCTTCTTTCATCCCTCCCTCTCTCTCCTCCTCCCTCTCCAACTCCCTCTCCCTATCTCGCCTCCTCCCTCTCTAACTCCAACACCCCCTCCCTCTCCCTCTGTCTCCCCCCCCTCCCTCTCTCTCCCTCCCCCTCCCTCTCCCCCTCTCTCCCCCCCTCCCTCTCCCCCCCCTCTCCCTCCCCTCTCTCTCTCCCCCCCACCCCCTCACTCCCTGTGTTGGACTGTGCCTATAGCAGTCACATTGGGCAGTTATTACAGTAACTGAGCTCTGCCTAATCATTTACCCCCAATGACCCTGATTGCCCCAGAGAGGGTTTTTATTTCAGTCAGTGGGGGGTGGGGGGGTGCCTCTTGCCTCTGGGAAGGAGGGAGGGTCGGAAGGGGCTCCAAGACAGTGTCCCTCGGGTGTTAACCCTTTCAGCCTGAGTCTGCTCGGCCCAAGCGCCACCCGCGCCTCCCTCCCCAAGACCCGAGGCCTCAGCTGCAGGGGGCAGCTCCCCACACCAACTGGGCCCCCCATCCAACCCCCAACCCTCCCAGCACCATCCAGACAGGAGGGGCATTGCTCCCCCTTTTCCTCAACCACCTCCCCTCAAACTGCCCTGCAGACCCCTGGCACTCTCCCCCTCAACCCCTTACTGAGACCCTACCTCACACACTCACTCACTTACACACTCACACACTCACTCACTTACACACTCACTCACACACACACTCTCACACACACACACGCATACATATACACACACACACTCACTCACGCACTCACTCACTCACGCACTCACTCACACACTCACTTACACACTCACTCACTCACACAATCACACACTCACACACACTCACTTACACACTCACTCACTCGCTCACTCACACACACACTCACTCACACAC